ACACGTCAATATTGATAATTAAGTGAGGGCCAAAATCACAGGTAATAGTGGCTGATCCCTTGCATGGTGGTTGACATTGAATAGAGACGGGATTCTCAGCTGGCTTCTCTTCAGTGGTCGCATGCATCACATTAACACCCACCAAGACGGCCTCATCCAGCTTCTCAATTCCTTTATCATGAAGAACGCCCATATCTGCATTTATGATGGAATGGTCATTACCAGAAGTGCATGGCCTGAACTTGCGCTGGGAGCATTTGTACTTCACCGAAAGTGACACAACATTTTTGAGAAGTTCTCTGCTTAAGTCGATTAAGTCACTGAAGCAGTCATATGTTATTGCGACATGTGACTTCCTTTGCCTAGTTACGCTTAAGGGGGGAGCAACAACCTTTGCTGGAACTGTCACTTTTGACAAAGTAATCAATCTTAGCTTGTAAGTTGCAGTGACAGCACCTTCCACTGCAAGTGATTTGCAAACATTTAGAACATCTTCGTCAGGGTATAGATCGAGGCTGTTCCTGTACACATCATACTGAATGTATGCACAAGTTACCATTTGAGCTATTACATCAAAGGCACATGTATTTGTTAACTGTGCTTCAGAATTGTCATCAGTCTTGGAAAAGCCTCTTATCATTCCATTTTCTAGCAGTCTTTCTTTGGGTGGTTTAATGGACTTGGCTCCAAATGCAACACTCAACTCAGGGCAGGGGTTGAGGTACTTTGATTTTGTTGACCTCTTTGGTGTGGGTGCCAACCCTCTCCAATTCTCACTTTCATTTAAACTTTTTTGCAACTCAGTTTCACTATCCTCACTTCCATCTGTTTCAAAGATCCTTGCCCTCTTCTTAGACTTGCGTTCCTTTTTATTCCTCACATTGTTGACATTTTCATCAGCATCCTTGTCTGTAGTGACAGTCTTGTCTGCACCATCCACACCTTCATTAGCCTGGCCCAAAAAAATTTCGAAAACTCCATCGGTGGGTTTTCTGAAAGGTAATACGATGCTGATTGCGTTGGACTTTGTCCGGGCGCTCTACGATGTCGGGAACCCACCGCGCATCGGCGTTAAAGATTTGGGCCCGCGTGGGGTCCGAGCGGGGCGGCGGCTCGCGGACGGCTGTAGCGGCGGCGGCGCGCGGCACAGGTGAGTCATATTCACATCAAATGTAACCCAGGGGTCCCTCTTTCGAACACCGCCTGTCCGGTGTCCGTGCGCCGTGTCGTTCGACCTGGCGAGAGAGTTAAAGCCTACCGGAGTAGTTAGGCCCTACGGAGACCAACGTTCATATTTTTGAGGTGCGTGCAGCGTAGAAGTCTTCCTTGGCGTCCTATACATCAGCCCGAATCGTCAAAGTTATTTAGCCCCACCTGCAATACACCGGAAAACAGGAAGTTTTGGCTACTCGCTAGCGAGCGGCGCCCGGATACTGTTTGAAATGAGCGCGCTAGAGCAGGGTGGGGGGACCGTACGCGCCGGCCACGCTCATGTGTGCCTTTTCCAGCCAAAAGTACGGCAGGTATCGGATTCCAATTAAATTATCTCTTGACCTTTTTCTATAAACGAAATAAACCTGCCCTAGTTCGTTGTGGAAAAGGCGTACATGAGCGCGGCCGGTGGGGACGGTCCCCCCACCCTGCTCTAGCGCGCTCATTTCAAACAGTATCCGGGCGCCGCTCGCTAGCGAGTAGCCAAAACTTCCTGTTTTCCGGTGTATTGCAGGTGGGGCTAAATAACTTTGACGATTCGGGCTGATGTATAGGACGCCAAGGAAGACTTCTACGCTGCACGCACCTCAAAAATATGAACGTTGGTCTCCGTAGGGCCTAACTACTCCGGTAGGCTTTAACTCTCTCGCCAGGTCGAACGACACGGCGCACGGACACCGGACAGGCGGTGTTCGAAAGAGGGACCCCTGGGTTACATTTGATGTGAATATGACTCACCTGTGCCGCGCGCCGCCGCCGCTACAGCCGTCCGCGAGCCGCCGCCCCGCTCGGACCCCACGCGGGCCCAAATCTTTAACGCCGATGCGCGGTGGGTTCCCGACATCGTAGAGCGCCCGGACAAAGTCCACCGTAACCAGCATCGTTTTGTCTTATAGAAAAACGACCGATGAGCAAAATCCGAGATCTGACCCTGGATTTTGGGCCAAGCTAACCTTCGTTGCTTTCTTCATTGGTTTGGCCTTCATCAGTATCTCTGCTATTCTGGTAGTCTTCGAACATGTCATTGGCAGTGGCGATATGGCAGGCCCCATCTGCATCTTTTAAGTGCATAGCAACAAATTTATAAAGGCGAACAGGTCTTCTCTTGTGTGCCAAAATGCAATTCTTTACAGTATTGAAGTGACTTTCAACCCGTGCAGACGAACCAGTGGCTGTGGGGGATTGAAAAGGTGCCACCATCACCCCAGTCCACAAAATAAAATTAGGAAGTAAGTCGAATAGATGTTTCTTAACACCTGGAGCAAAGTAAGCATTTGGCTCGTGGAACTTACTTGAAACCTCTTTAAGTTTCGAGGCCACTGTCTCTTTGATTTCCTTGATGAACTGTTTGATATTAGGTAATACAGTGGTCTCTTGCTCTTCATCCGAACCACAATCAAAAAGGTCATCTTCATCATCAGTATCAGTCTCTCCTATTTCTTCATCTTGGGTTGTCAGTTGCAGAACCTCAGGGGGAGCTCCCTCAATACGTTGTACTAGTTGACTTTTTCCATTCGAAACTTCTAGAGTGCTGTATTCACTGGCGGCTACCATGCATGTCATGATGAAAGTGTCACGAAAGCCAACAGCAGTGGTTTCGTAAACGAGCAGCCCAAGACACATCAAGAAAAATGTCTTCAGCCTTTTGGTTGCTTCAACCTTCCAGACATCCCACTTGGCTGCTCCGCCAAAAAGGTGGGCAACATCCAGCCGAAGATATGAGAGTGGCAATAATTCATTAAATGCTTCAGTCTCACTGAGACTATCATCAGTAAGAACCGAGAAGCACCTGTTGTAGTAGTCATCAAGGCTGTAACATCCACAAAAAGTAACCACAACAGCATTGATGAGTGCTTTGGAATTATCCACCACAATCTCATCAGGGGAGCGAGCACCTTGCCTCATGAATTCTCTTATCCAGAATTGAATGATACTTGCATCCTGCCTTGCTGACAGCATTTGGCAAACAGGTAACTGTTGGTCACCTGCTTGTATCACAGCCTCGTACAAAAAAATGTGAGGACTTTTCATCCCAGTGCAGGTTTCCACTTTCCTCACAAGAGAACCTGTTGCATCAATGGCCATCACTATGTAACATGTTGCAGAAAACTTCTTGTACACTTTAAGTTGGGCATGTGAGTGGTACAACACAAAAAAAGGGTCCAAACCAATTTGGTGTATCATACCAGCAAAGATATTGGTGCCCTTCATACGTCGCAGGTTCCCAATTGGATCTTTTGAATCAGTCACAATATCGTACACCCTGTCTGTCTCCTCCTGTTGGGCTCTATTCAGAACTTGTGCTGTAAATAGATGTGGTGGCTCCACATCACCATGCTTCATAATTTTAGAAGCTTCCCTTCGACGATATGATGAGGAAGAGAGCCCTTGCAGCTCTTTCCCCGTCTGCCTTCTCAGGTCATGGGAAAGAGGGCGTTTCTTGCGATGAGGAACACCTCTAGTATCATTTGCACGCCATTCTAACCGGGCATGCTCGTTGTCAAGAGGCTCAGTCAATATAGTGCCCGTGGCAGTAGCCCCACACTCTGGGCATGAGGCATTCATTTTAATGTAGTGCAGACTGGTCTCAGAGGTGTAGACCGTCCCCTTGGAAAAAGAATAGGGACATGGAAGCTGTGCTTGGTCCCATAGACATTCTATTATCACAGGCTCCCACTTGAACTGCCTGAGAACCATTTTCCTTCTGGGATTGCCCCTCTCCTTCCGCTCCACGAATATTTCATGGGGCTTAATATCCTTCCACCTATCAGGTGGGATGAGAACATTAAAAGTAGATATTGGCTTCGATGACGCCTGGGCACTTCTGTTTTCTGAGGTTAATTCATCCCCATCTTCATCAGAGTCATCTTCATTATCCTCTTTTTTTTCGGTGTGATGCCCTTCTCTTCATAGATCTCTGTCAAGACTCCATGCCGGTTGCCTTTCACAAAGACATACATGTAGTTTGCATCATATATTCCTTCTGTTCTTGTAGACAAATCTTGCCAAACTGAATTAGATGGTCCGTACACATTTCCCTCATTATCCACCACATCAGCCTTAACAATCAACTTCTTCAGATCCTCATGAGGTATAGCAGGCGCCCTAGGCATTTTCCTGCAAACAAATACATGCATATAATCAATCATTCTCAGGTGACAACAGTACGAAGATACTCAAGAGGTAGCAGAGAGTAGAACGTAGACAAAATGTAGCTGAGAATAAAAGCCTCTACATGTATGCAACTGTTTACATTGATGACAAACATTTCAAAGACAAATAAATATTTCCAGTTAAGTATACTGTTCAGTTTAAAGTGGTCCAAGCTTTCACTGACAGCAGAAAAAAGCAATGGAAAATAAAAAAAAGGACAGAATGTCAAAATTCAACAGAGAAGCCAAAGGAACATATTAATGCAGTACCTTTCCTCACCTTTTAATCCAGGCTCAAGTCCACAAGGGGTAGAAGAAAGCCTCAAGCAAGAGCGACTTCAGCACAGGGAGGTTCTCAACCAACTGCAAACAAACAACAAACAGCATGAACACTCAGCAATCACATTTTGTAATCCCCCTCAAGCGATGGAACATGAAATAAATAATTAAAATCGAGATGAGGTCTGTAC